ATGCATCAACAGATCCTGCAATCTGACTGCTGAAGATGCACACATTGTGATATCAATGCTAAAACTATATCATGCTGCTGTACTGTGTATGTGCACTAGGCATGGGCCTGTGAGTGATTCTGATGGTAAGTTATCCTTGGATAAAAATATTATACGGTATTGTGATAATTGCTTCAGAATAATTAATTAATTTTTTAAATAAATGTCTGGGTAAAAAAACATTTCTTTCCCCCATTGAACACAATATATTTTCTTTCAAGAAACATTTCAAATACTTTGGACCAGTAGCTTTTGATGTGGAGGTTCCTGTTCTGCTGGAGATTTAGTTGCCCTAAAAAACTACATAAAATAGTTGTGAAAACATGTAAACAACAAACTTGCACATACCTTCTGAATAGTATAACAGAAAACGTTTGCGGTTTTAAAATCTTGACCATTCCAAACTACAGTCAACCTTGAAAGCGGTTATCATCCCATGCCTAATGTGCACTACAAAGTGTCAGCCTTGTCCAGTGCCTGCATGTTTCTCCTCCATAATAATGATGTGTATAAATGTCTGCTCATTTCAAATTAGTTGAAGATGCCTTCTGAAACGCATGCACTCATCAACATGGGTATCTGCTGGTTTTTGTTGTTGCTTGTTGCTCTGTTTTATTTGGCACTTTATAAATTTTATAAATACAAAATGTATATTAAATACTTTATTATTATTATTATTATTATTATATCTTCATTTTGGCTTTTAACCCCTACCACATACAGACATGCAATCATCAAAAGTCTTTGGTTCTTCACTTTAAAGCTGTAATGTTTAGTGCTTTAAATAATGAAATTTATCCCTTTTCTCTGTAATTTTTTTTTTGCTTAATAATAATAATAATAATAATAATAATATTTTTTAGGGCTGCAAAATATTCCGTTTCAGCATTGATGTTGCAATGTGATCATTCAATAGCCACATCGCAAGTATGTTGAGTCTGGATTATAATTGATCGTTTTGCCTTGTTTTTTGATGCCTGTGACTGAGGGGTTTAAAAGCATTTAGGCATAAGAAATTGTAACGTTTGTGTCTTTGACAAATTTACAACGATTGAATTTATGGAATTCTTTATAAAACGTAGACTATGCAGTATTAATTTACATTTGATTATTCAGTTATTGTACACCTGAATACAGTTTAACAACTCTTAAAAAATAAACACTATTAGTATCTTTTTTTATTTTTATTGTTAGTATCTGTGCTCGTAGATTTCATTATATTTTATGCACTTTCCCACAGAATCATCCCAATCAATCATATTTATTCAGCTCATATAGTGAATTTTTAATTATGTTGCAATAGATACGACCGAATAAAAAAAAAAAAAATCATTTTCATTTGTTGTTGTTGTTGTTGTTGTTGTTATTATGACTTTTGACTTATCAGAGAATTCATCAAAACCACACCAAGTTTAATAAACAATTGGCGTCTATTCTTTGTCTGAACTCTTGTCTTTGGCATTAGTTTTCAAACTGAATCTCCATCAGTCTCACCTGTGCTTCTGGAGCTTTGACCACTTGACCCAAAGCTCAAATCTAACTGGGTCGCTCATTTCATCACACGCTGATGGGGGAACAAAATTGAAGCACCGGTCAAAAAGCCCAAAATGTTGCTTTGTGCTGTGATATGGTGAAGCCTGGTGTGAAAACCTCCATAGGGATCTGTTGTTTTGATTGAAGAGCATGCTTGCGTCGCAGTGTGAAAGGGCTTTAAGAGGTGCAACAACAGTTTGGACTGAATGTGAAGAGTTCAGAAGCCATGACAAGTGCACTGCTATCTGAAAGTTTTCTTCTGAAATGAGCATTTCCTCCTATGTTTGTTCAGTTAATTTACTTTAAGGCAATGAAAAGAATCTATTCGTTGTTATTAAGATATAATTACTGAAGCTGCATGCAGGAGCCCGAGAGGAGAATTTCACTCTGCTTCATGTGTAGGTGAAATGATGCAGACCATCAATTAAAAATGTTTCATGTCCGTCTTTCCAGGTGTAAGAAGTTCGGCATCCCGATAGAGAAGATCTACAACAAAACTCAGCGTGAGAAATTTGCCTGGGCGATTGACATGGCTGAAAAAGACTATGAATTTTAAATCTTGTTTGAGATTTTACTTCTCCCTCCACCCACATCCTTTTTATGTTGTTTTAATAGATACTTTTAGTCAGTGATTTCCAGCAGGTTGAGAACCTGACGAGGGAAAAGATGTGAAGCGAGCGTAGTGTCCAGAGGAGACCTGAATGTCATGATTTCAGTGACGGGCTTTTGTGTTTCTCTCTTCGTTGATCAGTTGTGTTTTTATTTTAGGCTTTGACATGTAATCTTGTAGGTTTTATCAGGTCGTTCTTTTGAGAATGAAGTACACAAGGTTGCATGGTCCTCAAGCCAGAAACTGGAGAATCAGCGGCTCAACCTTTTTGAACACTTGTACTGTTTGTCTGTCCGTCTCCCCCCTCGGGGCTCTGGACAAACGGAGCCCGGGGATGTCACAGGGGGGAAAAAAACAAAACGTTGAACTTGCGTGGTCCTCTAGCTACTGTATTCAACTACGACTCGCTTTGTGGATCCTTTCAGTTTTAGTTTTGCTGTATTTTTAGCCCTCCTGTATTAAAATAAATTCTATATTTTAATAGAAAAATCAAAGAATCGCTTAAGTACACCCACACGCCTTGTTAGGAGAGAAACGTGTACACCAGGTGTGATTATTTTCTGGGAAATATGACCATGAAGAGCTGTGTGTTTGAGTGAGTGTTACGTGAACTGTTCTCTTTCAAACTCTTGTATAAACGATATCCAGACCACAAAGTAAGATGCTTGGATGAGCTGCAGGGGATTACAGCTTCAATTATATTTCCTTAAACATGCAGAATGTGAATTCCTTTTCCTTTTTTTTTTTTTTTTTTTTTTTTTTTTTTTTTTACAGCTTCTATATCAGGGTCTTGTTTCCAGTGTAAATGTGAACCAATTATTTCCCCCCACACTTTTGTCTCCCGTATCCTACAGCTTTGAGTCTCAATCTGGGTTTAACTTAATGTGTAATGACTGTTTCCATAAGATAAAACATTAAAAAAAGAAAAAGATTACAAAAAAAAAAAAAAAAAAGCGAAGCTCCTGTATCTGTTACTTGAAGATTTCACTATTAGGATGTGTTATTTCAGGGTTTGGCGAAAGGGGTTTGTTTCAGATGGGTTATGTGAGGGAAATCAACTTTGCCAAAAACAGTCTGTTATGATTGAAGCTGTTTTATTTTGTAATTGTGTCAAGATTTTAAGAATAGACTTATTTTAACATGGACTTTTAACACTCTTCATTTTGTTTTCTTTTGATTTTTCTTTCCCCTCACTCCAGTATGAAATCAAATGTTGTTAGTGGCAGCCATGTAACCTTTTCCAACTTATCGAGCTCATGCCATAACCTCTGATCACGTTTTCTTTCTTTTTTTATTTTCTTTTTCCTCAAGTGTAGGTTATTTAAAAAATAAAATCCTACAACATAACCCTGTCATGTTGCTGTTGTTTTTGTTTGTTTCAGATGAAGAGCTTTCTTGGTCTTAGCTGTTTAGTCCAAACCTCAAAACAAACTAAAATCTTTCATATAATCCAGTATTGTTTTCTTTTTTTTATGGGCTGCATCTTGGACTGGAAAAAGCTTTCATTCATCCTATTTAAATAATTTAGGGTAATGGTTTCATGTCTAAATTTTAGCATTTGACCCAATGAAAGAAAATATTGTTTATGGCAACTTATTTATTTTTCACTGGGTCAAGTGATCAAATTGTAGATGTGAACCATTACCCTAAATTCTTCTTGTTGGATGAATAAACATTTTATAGGAAGAGTTGTTAAGATTAAAACTATAGATTCTTGATTAGAAGAGAATTGACTTTCTTTAACAAGACAAATATGCTTTGTTACCGTTTATAAAAATTTTTCATCATTGATATGAATAAGTTGCCTTAATCTTTTCTATCTGAATAAAAGCAATTTTTTATAAGCTGGCACAAAATGTATTTGTCTTGAAGAAAGTCTATTAATTAAAATTCTCTTCTAAACAAGGAGAAATAGCTTTAATCAAACTAACAATTCGCATTAAATGTTCATTCATCCTGTTAAAAAACGGAGGGCAATAGTTTCACATACAAATTTCATCACTTGAGCCGATGAAAAATAAATAATTTGCCTTGATATTTAAGTCCTTGAAAGTACAAAACATGCACATTTAAAAAATAAATAAATTGCTGCTTCTTTAAATACATAAAAATTAGTTGAAACAACAAAATTCTTAAGGTTTTTTTTTGGGACAACTTAATTGTTATGTTGATTTTACTTAAATTTCAATTCCAATTAAAGTTAACTTAATTTGTGTTTGGGCAACAAGAAGGATTCATGTGGAACCCAGCATTATTTTATTAACAGAATATTGAGTTTAATTTACATGCACTGGCCTGTACGAGTAGGTAAAATATAACATTGGTCAAAACAAATCTTTCTTAGTTGAGCTCTTAATCAGAAACATTTATATTTACGTTTGAACTTAAAGTACACTGAAGAAATAATGTCTGCAAAATTGTTGCAAACAAATTTGTAGAATTTAAACAAATGAAAATTTGTTAATGTTCAACAGACTTTGTTCAAAATCAGCCCAAATAAATTGTTTACAACCACTTGTTTTTTTAGCACGTCCAAGGACTCATCTTTGAGTGTAATAATTGAAAAATAAAACAAAAAATATTTAACTGAAATTAATGATGCGCTTTTAATTAAATGAAGTGCTGCTTGAAAGTTTTTCAGTGTGGTAAAGATTTTGGAGCATACAATGAGAAAAAACATGAAAGACTATTTTCACAAATGCTCATTTTGTCTGCAAACAAAATTATGCTGATAGTTTTCATATTTTCAACCACTTTAGATTTTTAGCTGTTTGGTGTTTTTTTTTCTGAGAAAAATACATATTTTTAGTTAAAATTCTTCAGTTTTTGGCATTTTTATTCACATTTTAAATATGCTTCTTAAAATAAACTACTCAAATGCCATTAAGTGCCATTACAATTCCTAGCAAGCTCAAAATATTACTGACCCTTTAAAAAGATAGTACCTTAATGGCATTGAAATACATTAAAAGATTTGGATTTTTGAGAGCCACACAAACCGCAGCAGAGGCGGCTTATTAAGCATTATCCCTCAAATAATGGGTTGAAAAAGTTCCTGTGTTCCCAGAAGCGCGTGAAGCGAGCTTTGAGAAGCGGCCTCAGGAAGAGCTCGGAGGGGGAGCGTAAAAAAAAGCCCCTGCCTGTTTGTGTTGGAAGAACGGCCTGTATGATGCATAAGCCAAGCTGTAGATTTAGGCAAGGTTTCACTCCTTTTGAGAAGCGCACCCAGGACCTCTCGGTGACTCTTTTGCTCAGGAAACTATTCTAATCATTTATTCCCCAGAGATGGCCCTTTTTTCTCTTCTTCTCGCTCTCTGCGCCGTCGGACATTTGCATGTGCTTCATTTTAACACAAAAATCCGCAATTAACGCAAATCCAAACAATCGTGCGTCTGTTCCTCTGCGCTGGAAGTTTCTTCGCCAAGCCATTGTGTATAACTCTCAGTGGCATGAAATGCATTCAAGACGCCATTTCTTAAATCTGACATTCTCCATTTATTACCAAAAGATTTGTAATGTGTAGAAAGGATAACACTCCAGTGCACTGTGTTCTTTTAGACAGACCTGCACAATGGGAACTGACGGGAAGGTAATACTGTAAGTCCAGATGTTATCTTTGTGTTAACTTTTTTTTTTTTTTTTTTAAAGAGAAACCACGTTGGATACAAATGCAAATAATACGGGATGAAAAGCACCTGTTATTCACTTTGGATGGTCTGAACTTAGCAGCATATAAATGATGCATAATGTGTGTGTGTGTGTGTAGATATACTATATATATAGATATATATATATCGTAGCCCAACTCAAACACAGGGAATATCCAGTTAGCAGAGCACTTTATCTGACTGTCTGTGAGAACTGTAATACCCCATCGGATAAGCAAACCGTTTTAAACTTTCTCCACCATAAATTAACATTTCTTTTGCAAGCTTTTCACATATAATAGTCTTGTTAATGCTTATAAAAAAACAAAACACTTCCGAAGATATAGCAGCAGTTCTGTTGGGATTTTAAATCCCCAATTTATACACACATCAACACAGTTGCTGAAAAGCTTGTTTGTGCAGCCAGTCATAGAAATAGAAAGGTGATGTTTAAGGCAATGTCTGGCCAATTGGGTTGTGTGTGCAGACAGACACCACTAAAGCGAGTTATAGTGCATGATTTGTCGCTAACTGCTCGATGCTTTGTGGAAAAACCAAAAAAAAAAAAAAGAAAAAGCGCCATGGAGAACTTGTTTGATCTGGACATGAAGAAATGAAAACGGGTAACGGTAAAAACCCAAGGCATTGCAGAAGTGCTGATTATCTGACATATAACAAAGTATCACAATATCTAACTGACATTCCTAACGTCCAGTACACCCTCGATAGTGCAGTTTCAAGCATATACATCATAGTTTCCTACACAGAGTTTACCTAAATCGAATCGGATCTACATTTGTAGCGGCTACTCTCTGGATCGGCCCAAAACTCCACAAGTCCATTGACCATCACGAATGTTTTACAATCTCATCTGCTGTCATATGTAAAGAAAACAAGAAATGTAATGTTCAGGATGAATACGGGATCCTCTGCCTCTTCGGCTTGCGGAGCCAAGTCCTTAAACTTTCAGAAGCTCTCCTCTCAGACAGTCCCTGTAGAGGAGGAGAAAGACATGTAAGACCAGCCCAAACACGACCGACAGCATCACACCAAAAGATCTCAGAGTCCAGCACTTTGCTACACATGATTTTCATCATTTATTCACGTTAAGACACACTTTGAGTAAATCTATAATTCATTAGCTGCGCCTTCGCTAACGCCAAAAATAGCCTCTTTTTTTGTTTTTTTTAAATAAAGCACATAATCATGAGCGTGCGCCAGTGACTAATTCAAAACACTGTATCAAAAATCTGTTGATCAAAAGGGCAAGAACTGTTAATATGCACATAATTTAATTCACCATTAACAATTGAGCTCGTTTTAAAATTGCCGCTACTTTGATTACCTTAAACAAAGTGACAATCCAAGAGTAGTCGACAGTTACTAGAAAAATGACAACAGGTCTCTTGGGGGAACGTTCAGAATTAGCCTGTTTATTTCTCTCAAATATCAAAAGTCCATCAGCCATTACCTTGATTGACTGTCTTGTGCTTGATGCCCTCTCAAACTCTGGTTTCCCATTGGTTGCTGATGCTCGTCATCCTTAATCTCCCAGTAATCTTGTTCTCCTGTGGTTGACTTGTCTAACTCCGCCATTGCCTCCTGTGATTTTTTCTTCATTGGCAGCATGGGAGCTTCAGAGTCTAGACTCTGAAAAATACTCTTCCGCTCCGGGCATAGATCTCGCTTGACTTGTTGGGTTTCAAGACCTACAAGTTTATCTGGCTGGTGTGATTCGCTGTTACCTATATCAGTTGTGCGATGTTCTGCATCCACTGGTAAAAGCCGTAAGCTTTCATGCCATGCTGAAGATTCGTCTTTATGACTGGAATCGTTGCCACTGATCAAGCTCTCTAACGGCTTGCAGATTGGCGGTTTGCTGTTGGTCTTGTACAAACTCTCATCTTTGTTCAGCGATATTACGTTTATCTTCATTGGGCTCATGTTTGACTCTTCGAGATGGTTGCAGTTGCTTTCCCATTGGTCCACTTCTTGTATGTATTGTCTTAAGAGCGGCATGGCTTGTTTAGCCTTGTTAGTGTTATCGTTTGTGAAGGTATGTAGTGTGTTAACTATTTTGCTATGCTCGTTCTTGTCAGTGGTGTAAAATGTTTTTGTAATTCCACTATCCGTTTCAGAAACTCTTCCTTCATTTTCATTTTGCGTTACGTTTCTGTAGAACCTTTCTTTATCAAAACTTGATTGCTTAGAGTCTTTGTCTAAGGCAGGTAAGTGTTTGGGGTCCTGTTCCTTGTAGTGGACGGCAGTAATGTCTGTGGACTGGACCTGAGGTGCTCCCAGTAGGGTTTTTGGAGAATGTTGCTCCTGAGGAGCAGAAAGGGGTGGAGAGGAGTGTTGACTGGGTTCATCTTGGATATGGGAGCTTGGTGCAGAGTTAGACTGGAGGGAGCTCTGGGGCAGGTTGATAAATGAACCCCCCAAAGCGGACTGGGAGTCTGTCAAAGTATGTATGTGGTATGGTTGACCTTGTGGTGCAAGAAAGCGTTTTTGTTCAGGGAATGAGTTATGAGTAAAGCTTTGCTTCAGGGTCCCTGGCAGCTCAGGTAAAACCTTACTCTTACCAAAGGATAGATCCATGCTTCCAGGCTGTGGGACCAGGGTATGGGTAAGGGGTGGTAAAAACTCATCAGTTCTTATGTTACTGTTGCTACAAATCACACTAGTGTCAGTGTTGCTTTTGCTGGTGTGGTCTAAGATGTTCCCCTCCCTTTTAGTGCAAATAGAAATGTGGCTGGTGCTTTTATAAGTGCTTCCGTTGTTATATTTGCTGGTGGTGGCAAAGCTGCTTTCTTTTGTGTTATTGGACGCTTTCTGTTGCCCATAAATGGAAGTTGGACTGGCTTTTGTTTTGCTGGTGCAATTTGCGTTCCTGTCATTGACATGACAGTCAATTTTCCTGACTATGTTGGTCAGATTCATGATGCTGCCCTCACTATAACTGCTGTTCTGACTTTTGGAAGCGCCAGGCAAGATGGATGAGCTGCAGCCAGTCTCGCTTTTTCCAGTGTGTCCAAGATTGCTAACGCTACCTCCTCGGCTTGCATTGTTGCCGTTCTCAGTTGTCCAACAAGATAATTCATTTCCAGTTTCCTTAGTGATAACAGCATGGTGGATATTTACCTGTGGCGCCTGAACCACTGGCTGCTGCTGCTTAAGGGATGTGGCCTGGGTCACGCTAGGCTGGCTGACTATGACCCCTCCTTTCCAACCCACTGCACTTCCCTTTGGTATCTGTTGTATATAGTTAGAACTCAAAGTGGCAGACTGGACAGAAACACAGTGTTGGGAAATGTTGTGATGCAACTGATTCTGTGATGTTTTCGGTGTGGCTTGGAATACAGTGTTGAACATCTTTCTACGTGTGTCCTCGATTTCTTCAGGAGACCAGCTAATACCTTGCTTTAGCCTTTGGGCTGTGAACCAGAGTTTGATCTGTTCCTCTGGGAAGCCAGAGACCACTGTCAAGTAACAGAGCTCTGCTTTGGTAGGGTAAGGGAACTTACCAAAGGATGTCTTAAGAAAGCTGCTTAAATCCATAGCTGGATCGTAGGTGGGGATGCTACTTAGAGGGATCATGACCTTTGGGAGATCAGCATTTGAATCGGCTGATGACATATTAGAGTTCCACAGAGGACCACGGTTATGCATTCTTGGGATGTTTGGGATTTTATAGATTGGAGGGGCACCAGTGCCACCAATGATATGTGTTGATGTCGTTAGGGGAAAGGTCCTAACTGAAGTGCCATTGGTTACAGTTGCGGGTTTGTCGATGCTAGGCTCAGCCCGATGTACCTCAACAGTATGGGAGACGACAATTTTTTTGTGCCCCCCTTTGGTCATTTTCATTATGGGTGTCTTGGTAATGGATATTCCGGATTCACTGAAATCCTCTTCTGTAAACAGGCTTTGCTCCACTGTAATAGCCCCATCTCGTTTGGTAACTTGCAAGGACACTCTCTTGTGCGCTGTATGGAGTTCAGGATGTGATTTTGCGTTATGTAAAGCAAGACCTTCAAACTTCACCGCTGAGACCTTGCAAGACAGGCAGTAGAAGTTTGGTTGAGCATGAAAGTCCTTGTGACAGCTGTCCATATGATGAAGAAATAGGTTCAAGTCTCTGGACTCAAAGCAGCACAGAGGGCAGGTATATGTTCCCCTTTCCCAGCATGAAGTTTTCGTCACGGCTTTTGAGAGATCATGGAATCGTTGTGCATCCTCATCTTTTGAAGAGATACTGAGGATGCTGTCTTCAGGTATTGTGGGTAGGAGCTCAGGCAAGCATCCCAGTATGATGTCCTCCCGCATGTGCTTGCTTTTAGATGGAATCATACAGGGAACGGTGGATTTCCTCTTGCTGGCCATATTGTAGGATTGTGCAGATGAGTGAAGAGTCAGAAACAAATACTGGAATTGTGTGGAGTTGAGGTATCATCACCAGCCGTGATGAACCAGCAATTGGTGAAATCTTCAGCTATCAGGACTTCCCATTGTTAAAGGGAGTGAAGTAACAGCTCCCTGTGAACCTAAGGAAAGAAAACATGACATTTTGATATAACAACACTCTGACACAAAATAGAAATTAATGTCAGCATGGGATATGCATCACAGTTTTTGATAGTTTATGGAATTGCTCCCACCAACCACTTATTAATACAGCCATGTTTATTAAAATCAAATGACTGATATGAACACCAAACCTTTCTTGACTTAGTTTTGCCAAGTAGAACTCTATTAAAAGCAGAAATGTTGGTACTGTTGCGCCAAAATAAAATCTCATTTTTATGAACCGCTAAAATCAACAAAATGTGCCTGTAAGAAATTTTCATTATAAGCGACCTAAAATAAACAAATAGCAGGATAAAGTTTCTTGTTATAAATATACTCCAAAAATGTTTGTTTCCAAAAATGTGACTGTTTGTAGGCTTACATCGAACATCAAGGCCAGTTCTCTGTGATTTCTACATGTGTTCTCTCTCCCTTTCTCTCTCTCTCTCTCTCAATCACACACACACACACTTTTTTTCTTTTTGCTGCACTTCTCCACATGCTACACAAGGGAGCATTTCAGGATAAAGTTCATACGTGGTTCACATTTTTCCGCCTGTTCGGTTTTCAAAAAAAAAAATGTAAATATCTTTTATTGATTCTTATATTTGACATATTTAGCCAATTCTAAATGTCTTAAGCAAATAGTACAATTACAAAATGAATGTGTTTAAATCTGGCTTTATAAAAATGTATAAAAATATGCGTTGTCTCCATCTTGGAAGCTGATAGCAAAGCATATAAATTTCTTATGTTCTTTGTGCAGTTTTAATATTTCAAATAAACATTAGCAGGTGAAAGAATCGAATGATTTAGGACTATATTTCCATGCAATATGGATCTGCAAAAGATATTAATTAAACCGTTTAAGACTTCTATTGGGGGTTTAGCTCTACATTTCCTTGACCTTCTCTTTCATCAGTCTACATTTTGGATGAAAGCATTGTAAGGGACCATGTGTCTACATATTTTTTTTTTACTGTGGCCAGCTGTCTTTAAATAAAAATATTTATAAAAAAAAAAACACTGCCCAAAATACACAATGCTCCCAGACATGGCCGTGACGTACTCTTTTGCAACTGACTCTTTTATTTCTCATGACGGCTGCCTTCCTGCCAGAAAAATAAATAAATAAATAAAAATAAAACTAGGTCACCAGCATCTTATGCTGTAATCCCGGTTCCCTGCATCCAGACGTGGGCATTTACTGTATGTTCAGCCTGCTTACGAGTCCATGATACTCAGATTTCATCAATGGATGTTAACCCCTGGCATGAATCAGGGTTACAGAAATTGCACCAGACTTCTCTGAATAAAAAAACAACTATTCAGAAAGTTGCTTGTGTATAAATTTGTGCGTATAAAAAAAACCTTGGACTGAATAGAAATTAAAATGTGTGCGGCATATGTGACTTCTATTTGTTAAAGAGTTCTAGCTGAGTTAAAATGTTATGGAGTTCGTCTGAAGGAACAAGGGCACCTACTATTCTCTCAAAAATCTGCTCTCCATTTGTGCAAATATTAACCAAACAAAATGATTGTTAGCCATAACAGACTTATTAATATCTCAATGACTATACCACCCAAAATTTTAAACTGCTAGCCTGATTAGCACTGGACAGGCAGGAGATGGTTCAAAAATGTTATATAAAAAAAAACAGGTCACTCGTCAAAGAATGGGATGCTTTATCTGGCAACCGAGACGTGCGATTAGACACAGGACAAGAGGTTTCCAGACAGTGAGCTATTGAAAAGGGAACTCAGAAAGAGAGGCCTCGTGTTTCAGCACCGGGGTGAACCAGTCTCACACAAAACAGTCTATCCTGCTACTGTGCGTCTCAGTGCTTTCGTAGCTTTAGCGGCGAAACCGGAGGCCTTTTTATCCCGGCAACCTGTGGAGTCAAGGCATGCAGTAGATTTGGTTGAAAATTAGCACAACAACGCTGACCTACATTTACGTTTTCGAGCAGTTCAAAACTTAAATGTTACACCACGTTACGTGATACACATTTAATAAGTCTGGCTCTGCTTAAACATTTTAGATTGTGATGCGGGGTATTAAATGTAGAAAGAAGCCAAAGGTCTGGCAATACAGGCCTTACATAATAAAACATCCTCTCTCATTGTTATTGATTAAAGGCTGAAGCATCCCGGACTGGACGTTCTTTATTATGTGGGACCACACCGAATAAGCCTTCTAAGATATCAACAGCATGAATATCTTTCATAAAGCCGCTGAAATAAAATCGCTTTTTTTCTGCGCAGCAACAAAATGTGCTCAGAAGTTGTTGTTTTTTTTTTCATGATAAAGCGTTAAGATTGTTATAAACAGACACGTCGTTTGAAGCTGAGGGAATGTTTGTATTCCTACATGCCATATTCTCTTTTATTTGATTATGTGCTCTCACACACACACACACACACACACACACCCCAAAATCCTCTTCTTTGTGGTGCACTCCTCCACACACTACACTTCAGGCAGTGCGGGAGCATTTTAGGATAAAGTTCATCTGTGGTTCACATTTTTCCTCCTGTTTTGCTTTAACAATTATGTAAATATCTTGTATTGACTGTTAATCCGAGTGTCCACCATATGTAATAGAGTGATTGCTGTGTGTATTTCCAATTACCCTTCAAAAAAAAAAAAAAAAAAAAAAAACTGGCACGAGATGAAGATTTGTGAGAGTTGTGTGTACTGATTAAACCTCTCAGACTGGCTTTGCTTTTAGCTCTGAATTTTTGTGAGCTTCTCTTTCATCAGACTATAAATACATTTCGGATGAAAACAATGTGGTGTCCATGTGTATATATTTTTTCCACTGGTTCCATCTGTCTTTTAAATAAAGGAGAAAACCATTCAGGAATAAAAAAAAGAGCTGAAATGACGGCCCAAAATACACAGTGCTCCTAGACATGACCGTGACGTCCTCTTTTATTTCTCAGACTGGATCAGCTTTATTACACGAGGCTGAGCTGAATAAGCCTGTAAAATATCGGCTGATTTTTACATGAAGTTCTGGCTGAATGTGACTTTTGTTTAATGCCATAACAAAGGTCAGCTGCGCACATGCTGTAGTAATTATAATTCTATAAGTACAAAACTGAAAACAAGAAAAGAGGTCATCATAAGAGGCTGTCGTGATCATTCTTCTTCATCCTAAACAATGGCGCTGCCATTTACGAGGGAAATATGACACTAAGCCGGAAGCCATATGCAGTGCCCTCAACGCTCACATGCCATTGAAATATTTCCTGAATGCTTGTGCCAGACTGCCAGTATGTAAGGTGGGCATGTGACTACATGCCATTGTGGTACAATGCTGTTTGTGTGATATATCAGTGATGGCGTCAAACACATCCACATTAATTATGTAGAGACTAAAGAGCCACTGAAGCATCCTACAGTTCACCTTCATTATGGGATGTGACTCATTAGCAAAATGCCACCAACACTGGCGTTTGTACCATCAGCTATTTGTGGGCCGACCGTGTTTATGTTTAAAACCAGTCAATGAACCTTATGCGAGTACTACAGAACGCTGGGTGCCATCAGAAGTGCCCACTTTGCCCCCCTTACCTCGATGACTGCTGCACGGACTCTTGGGAGGCCAGTCTGCGCTGCCACTCATGTGTTAACATTGCCATAGCAACCCCTCTCCTTTCCCTTTCCTTGCCCACAACACACAGAGGGGACTAAATCCTCTATTCTTCACCAAAAAACACTCACTTGGGGGACATTTTTTTTGTAGCCCTCCAACCCAAAAGAGAGAAAACTCCAAATATTTTATTTGACTGTGCTATTTGTTTATGCCAACATACAAATTGGAAACAAATGAGACTATCCGTCCCTTTTTCCGCTCTGTAATCATGGCAGATTTTTTTTTTTTCATGAACAAGAGCACCCCAGAATTTTACAAAGGCGCTACTTGCGCTTTCTGAATTACTTTGCCAGTCTTGCGACACAGAAATCTGCGCGCAACAGATTCGGAAATTCGCATTTAAAATAAGTACTTTTCACGCCTCAGACAGCAGAGAAATAATCACTGATGTGATGTGCGGAGTTTGATCACCGGTGCGACACACTCATTAGTTACAAAAAAAGAAAGATGGCGGAGCACCATGAATTGTACTGAGTCAAGTGCCAGGTCTCGGCGAATGCCAGGCTCCTCTATACAAAACGGCGCTGGAACAGCTGAAACACTTGTATGGCCGTCACTCCGCTGTTAAGCCAAAAGTTTGCCTCAAAAAGTACTGAGGTTAATACGGGCTTTTCAGGGAGGTTTGGGGGGAAATACTCCTATTGTGGAGCTGTTGTTCATCCACTCTTTAGATTTACAAATTTAATAAGGTAATGTGAGATATCACAGAAGGGCATTTTCTGTTATTACATGCACAGTGAGCTTTTCATTATAAATAATTTAATCATTTTGACTGCTTTTATAGCACGGATAGAGGACGTAGAGCCTCCATAATTATAATTCTGCTTCGAAATCCAGTTGGCATTAGGCAGACGATTCTCCTCTCCTAATTCAAGGAATATTACATAAACCGACAGCTTTTACTGGAAATCAACATACAATAAAGGGACTTAACGTTTCAGTGCTCGCAGTCACGCCATTCAGATTGGACACACAATAATAAAGCTGCAAACTGTGCATGCATGTGCGAAAGGCATTTTCTTCAGTCTGTAGGCGCAGATACTTTTGGGAAGGTCACGTTCTAGATGGTTTACTTTTCTAATTGCTCAAATTCAGGATGAAAGGCAATATTGCCCTGCCTTATTACAACACTGCAGACCAGAACACCATTCCCACAGGAGAACAGAGGTTCACCCAAACCCCATTGCATGCTCAGCGACCTACAGCAAGCATGCATCCATCCAATATTATTCAGCATGTTAACTTGAAGAGAAAAGTAGTGCGGTTCAGCAAAAAAGTGATGGTTAGTGTACGGCCAGAGAGTTGAGCTGAAACACCCTGAGAGCCTTTCATTCTAAATAATGATTTATAATGTGTGGTATCAGAGCCAGGGTTATGATCTGGAGTTAAATCTGAGTTTGAGTACATTCTGTACCCATTAACAGTTGATAGCGCGTGCTTTTCCAGATCTGCGCCAGCTCTGAACTACAGGCACCCCCGAAGGGCTCGCCATCGTAAAGATGACTTTTGGAGATCGATCAATGCGCCAATATTTCCGTGCTCCTCGGTCCTCGTTTTGAAGTAGAAATCGGACGCGTGACGCTCGGAAACGGACACACTATAGTAACATCCCATAGGCACGTTGTAGCGTGCGAATAATCAAATTGGAAGCAGACGAGAACATTGAGTAACAAAACTGTAACAAACTGGTAAGTTAACCCTTTCGCTTCGTATCGAGGCACTAGTAACCTCCATCCGGCGAGACGTTTCTCGGGAGTTTGAGTGCGTGTAGCGCGGCGCAATATTTTGGCTATTACCAAAAATTTTAACTAAGCACTCCCATCTACTGTCGCCATTTTATACATAGAGGCGACTTCACGCGCCGCATATGAGTAGAATAACAAGGCACGCTTCTCTCTGCCAAAACTACTTTTGAGGAGTGTTCGCGTCACCTAAATAAATCGCTTTCACTTCTACGAAAAGTCAAAGTTCCCTACCTTTTCGTCGGCTCTGCTGACTGCGAATGGAAATCCGTTATTGATACAGAAATGAATAACATTTAGGTTTCTCTCCGCTCCGGGTCTCGGGGGAACAGGAGGGGCCGAGACCTCTCCTCAGATGAACCCTGTGAACTAACGTGAACCCTCCGGGTCACGGCGATAAGGAGCATCTACTGCTTTATGGCACACTGATTATGTGCCCGGCTGACATGGGCGCTGCTGGAGTGGCGAGAAGGGAAAGAAATGTACGCCAGGCGCTCTCAAATAAGGGCACGTGATTAAAACGCGTCACCCAAACCCAAAATCCTGATCCTACCCCTCTCTGTTCTAGGACGGGCTGAGCAGACACACTGAAGGGAGTGACTCATGCGCAAATGTCTAATATAGCCAGAAATATGGAGCAGCGCTTTCGGTCAGTAGGTCGTATAAGGACGAGGGGGAAAACAACCTACTATAGCGATCACGAGCATGTGCCTCTACTACATACAGTCACACACTACACACGCGTGTTTATGAATAGGAACAGCAGATAGATATTGCGCGCAATGTTACGATGGAATAAAACAGAGCGGAACAGAATCTACGCGCGACCAAATTAAAAAGGCATATGCAAAGCGTGCTATTAACACAGAATAGGATGGGAAATGTGAAATTAATAGGATTTCTGTTGCTTTAAAAATGTAAATGCAACATGCAGTTTAAAACATATTGCTAAACATGAATAGAAAATACGAGTCACGAGACCAAAATGTCAATTATTAAGCAATCACAATAAAATGTTTAGTATTAGAACAACGTAGAGTAGAAGGTAATACAATAATATAATCTTTATTGGCACACCATGGCCAGGGAAAAAATAAATTGCAGTATGCAACAGAATTTATATTATTAGACAATGATAGAACAGAATAAAAATAAAATCTTGAAGCCAAATAAAATCGTATTAGTAATTTCTGAGCAACATACAATGTTATTACTCGAACATAATAAAACAGAATAATATCTCAGTTGCTACACCACGACCAGGGAAAATGAAATTGCAATACAAAACAAATATTACAACCAAACAAAACAGTATGACAGAACAAGAATGATCAGGATATTACATAGAATAGAATAGAATAGAATAGAATAGAATAGAATAGAATATGACTTCCATCACACATGGCCAGGCAGAATCAATGCAATAGAATACAAACTGTTCGTGCATAGTATTATCCACAAAACAGGAAGTCCTGTTGTGCAACATACAGTAAAACGAGCATTTCTTTCTATTATATTAAAACTCTATAACCAGAATGGTTGTTCTTGCTTTAATATTTCAGTACTAATCGCCAAATATACAATATACAAATATATAAATGTGCACAGCTGCATGCACGTGTCCTTGATTCTGTTGTATTTACTACTGACACCAAAAATGTTTCTGAAACTGATTACATTTTTTAGAGAGGGTCATATAAGGTGAAAGTAAATCTGAGAGTTCCCACAGCCTACTGTTCTGCTCTCTTAACTGATAACAAACAGACGAGCGGAGTGCAACAAACACCAGCCCGTCTTTTATCAACAGGTTGTGTGATACTCCGTACTTGTATCTGGCCACATAAAATGTGTATAATGTTTCTGAGTCTTTTCTTTTCTAAGGAACGTGGTGGTAGACCTGCTATCCAGGGGCTCCCCCTCACGCCACAGTGGCAATTACACCTTCAGACGTGCAGCGTTTTTGACAGTACAGGCAGAGATGAATCTGATTGGATAAAGCCTGAAAACACCTACTGTCCATTACGAGACGGTTGCCATGCGGTTTGGGCTTTTCCTTCATTAAGGCCTCAGCCCAAATTTGTCATTTCCCTTTGAGAACACATGGCAGACATAGCTATGCTTTTAAAACATTATTTACAGGAGACTGGGATTATTTATTAAAAGCACTGTATCCTAGTAATAGGTTTTGAACATCCAGTGGCATGTACATCTGTGTTTTCTCTTGCAGTGATTTGATTTGTTGGGTTTTAACACCTATTGAAAAATAAATTATGCAAATTAGTTGTTTTTTTTTACATTTGCCCACCAAATTATACATATAATTTGAATTTATATTAACTAAATTGTATTTTTACAACTATACAACTTTTGTATAATTACAAAATTTGTATATTTACAAACTGTAAAACTGAAAGGCAGAGAGAAGTGTAGGGTCAGGTTGAGACATGTCATATATTTTAAATGCATACAATTTACTGATTATAGTATTTGATGCTCAAAATAATGATTTAAAATTGTATGTTGTGTTTTTTAAAGTTTTGCATTATGAATAATTTAGTTTTATAATCATTTTGTAGTTTAACTTAGCTGAAAAGCTTACAATGACAGGCTGACTATGTAGGACAATGTCCTTTTTGACAGAAAGTCAGTGTGACTTCATACAGGCATATATTTCAATTATACTGTGTGTTCCTGGTATTTACAACATTGTGGGTACATTTAAGTATGGTATATCCTATGGTATATCCTTATCCTTAAATTTTTTTAACATGTGTGGGTTTCATTCATTCATTTTGTTTTTGGCTTAGTCCCTTTATTATTTAGGGGTCACCACAGTGGAATGAACCGCCAACTTATCCAGCATATGTTTTACGCAGCAGATTCCCTTCCAGCTGCAACCCAACACTGGAAAACATGTATGGGTTTCAGTAAAATGATCATATTTAATTTATTCCATAAATTTACAACAACATTTCGTCAATATTTAAAAAAAAAAAATTATTCATACAATGAAAATTGGTGAGAATATCAAATGTTTTCAGTTTTTATAATTGGTTTATTTCACCAATTACTTTTTTTTTTTCCTTTTCTGATCTAAAATGATGGTATAGTGTTTAAAATTTAATATAATCTGTCAGAAAACATCCCGGGCGACATGGTGGCTCAGTGTCACCTCACAGCAAGAAGGTTGCTAGTTCGAGTCCCTTGTTGGGTCAGTTGGCATTTCTGTGTGGAGTTTGCATGGTCTCCCCATGTTCGAGTGGGTTTCCTCTGGATGCTCCAGTTTTCCCGACAATCCAAACACATGCGCTATAGGTGAATTGAAAACTATACTGACCGTAGTGTATGTGTGTGAATGCAAGGGTGTATGGGTTTTCCCAGTGCAGGGTTGCGGCTGTAAGGGCATCCACTGCGTAAAACATATGCTGGAGAAGTTGGTAGTTCATTCTGCTGTGGCGACCCTAGATTAATAAAGGAACTAAACTAAAAAGAAAATCAATAAAAATATTCAGTGTTTTTGTTATTTTATAGCCCACAAAATATTTTCTCTGAGTAAAAGAAAGATTTGTTTTGTTCCATAAACTACCAATGAAATTTGCTCTGTATTTAAATATAAAGGTTGCCATTTCAAGCCTGAAATTATAAAGGTGCTATCTTTTCAGACATATTACATTACTTTTTGGACATTTTGATAAAAAAAAAATAAATATAATAAATAAATATCTAGTTAAATAACACAACAAATGAAATCATGTATTATCCTCCTGACTAATTGTCATTTTCTCACTTTAAAGTTCTAAAAAATAAATATTTAATGTAAATTTTAATACATTTTTATCATTAGAAACTTCTTATTATCAAAGAAACTGGGAATTTTGTAAGTCTCGTGTTTACCACACTGTATGCTGGCCACATTGTATAGCCATACTGTATATCACAATACAAGTTCAAAAGCAAAATGCGTTATGAAAACGAGCTGCTTAAACATCTTGCTATAACTTTTATACTGTCTGTTTATATGAAGTATTATTACCTGTACTTTATGAGGCCATTTAGTTTCACAACACCACCGGGCGTGAACATTACAACACACAAACTGTAAAAAAAAAAAAAGCGAAAATCACCCACGCCGCTTTTGTTTGCCTCCAAATTCAAACTCTTGACCAATAGACGCAGAGCACACTGTCCAATAGCGTCCTTTCTCAGCAGACACGTGACGCCACAACTAGACTGGCAACAACGTAGCAACCAATGGTGGCTCTCCAGCTGTGGGACGAGTCTTCTGGAAAGTACAGCTTACAGGTGGGTGATTTTCATATTTGGGAACGCTTGTGCGTGTGAGACTGAGAAACTTTTAGTCATGGCTCTTTCCCAGTGTCTCGAGGACTCACCAGGCTGGCGCACACCGAGGAAAGAGCAGGACTCGAACCTTAACGAGCTCTACAATGAGAGACACCGACTGGCTTTGGAGGAGCTGGTGGCCGGGGGAGTGCAGTCATTCATGGGCTTCCTCAAGAAAGAGAGAATGCCCAACTTTCTATCCGAAGACGAGATCAGGAGGGTTTATCGCGCGGCTGTGGTGCCCAAAACAATCTCAATCAACGGAGACGATTCTCATCTGGATCAGTCGGGCACCCTGGACTGCTCATCTGTCACTTACTTCCCGGAGGTCTCTGACATTGAGCCCCCGGTGCTGGAGAACGGCTGGCCGGCGTTCACTGCAGGCTCGTACCGCGGAGTAACGCGAGCGGTCGCCTACTTCCAGCCGAGCTACGGAGAGTGCATTTACAGCTGCAAAGAAGCAGCCAGGAGGATGATCAGAAATGCCAAGGAGGTATTGCTGATATAAAGAAATAGATTTGAATATTTTTTTCCCCCTTTTGCCTTGTTGAAGCTTCTTGATTCTTGTTGGTGAATTTATGTGTTGTAATAATTAATCAGTTCATTCTTATTGACGCTAAAGTTAGTGTTTGGGAAACAGTAATATATTACAATCTAAAGTCTTTTTAGGTAGCTAAAGGTGTTAGTTACTTTTTAATTAAAGTTAAAGTAAGCGTTATGCTATTATTACATGTTTATTAGAGTAAGATATACTAATAATAATATATACTAATAGTAATATATACCGTAATATATTACTTTGTTTTGCTCAACAGACATCCATGCTAACTAATCTAAAGTAAATTTTTTTATGAATATATCTCTCCCAAGGTCAAGACCAAAATTACATCTTTAACCTTTTACATTTTTAAGTATATTCACCATAGTTTTACCAAAGCATTTTCTTTGCACATTTTCGATAATAAAACCATGCAAAAATATCGTAAGGGAGGAGATGCAGGGTTTCTGCAAATCCACAGAAGACTTAATTAATGCTTTTACAGTTTAAGACCTTAAAAAGATCTGAAAATCAGTGCAGACAACCTCAAATGCAAAGTAATGGCATAAAAAACTGCATGATTCTTGCATGATCCTCAGTTATTATTATTTTATTTTCAAATATCAATAATACATATTTTACAGACAGTTGAAGTCAGAATTATTAGTCCCCTGTTTATTTTTTTTCTCCAATTTCTATTTAATGGAGATTTTTTTCTACATATTTCTAAACATAATAGTTTTGATAAGTCATTTCTAATAACTGATTTATTTTATCTAAGCCATGATGACAGTAAATAATATTTGACTATATATTTTTCAGGATGTTTCTATACAGCTTAAAGTGACATTTAAAGGGTTAACTAGGTTAATTAGGTGAACTAGGCAGGTTAGGGTAAGTTATTCATTGTATAACGATAGTTTGTTCTGTAGACTATCAGGGGAAAATTAGTTTAAAGGGGCTAATGATTTTTACCCTAAAATGTTTTTTAATAAATTAAAAACTGCTTTAATTCTTTCCAAAATAAAACAAATAAGACTTTCTCCAGAAGAAAAAATATTATCAAACATACTGTGAAAATGGCTCTGTTCATTCAGGAAATATTAAAAAATAATAATAATAATAATAATTCTGACTTCAACTGTATATTTACTTTACTAAAAAACTAACAAAGTATTTTTGAGAAATTGAGAAATAAGCAAGAAAAACAATATGAATAATTGAGATGTACAAATTATTTATATGTCCGAATTTTTAAATTTACACACTAATTTAAAAAAACATATTTTCGTGTGTGTGTATGTGTGCACGCAATCAAAAGTTACTGTACCTGCTTTTCTATATTCTAGTGTCTGGGAGCAGAGCTATTATTCTTTTGTGTAAGCGTAAAGTGAATTAAAAGTCATGAAGTGTTCTAATAATATGGTCTGCTGCTCATATTTAAGAATATCTGGATCTATTTGTTCCCTTCATGCATTACATTTTTATTACTTGCTTTGTTTAAAAATCCTAAAATATTTATTTCTCAGTTGATTTCCAGTTAGCTATTTTTTACAAGTGTACTACACTTTTCCAGTAACTACACAGTCCAGTTTTCATAGTTCATATTTAATTGGCTTTAAAAAAACAGTAATGAATAGTAACTAGAAACAGATGCTTATCTTTGATGGATTCATTTAAAATAATTGGATAAAAAATAGATGTTATTAATTTATAAGCAATGTTCAAATGGATTGCCATAATATGTCTTAATTAATTTTTATTTTATTTATTGTTATTAAGTTTGAAAATTAATTTGTTCTCAGATTTCCCAATATTCAAGAGGATTAAAATAAAACAAACAACCAAGCAAGAGCAATGGAAAGAATACTGATGGTTTGGTGATTATGATGATAAAAATATCTCTCTGTTTCATTGATATGAATCAAAAGATGAGCCTTTGGGTTTTCATGTGATAGAAGAAATAGTGTGTGGCTTATTCAAAGTAGTTGGATCTGAATCTGCAGTGAGGAATGATAAGAATGTGCTGAAGCGTCGATCACACATGGGTCTGAACCTGGAGGTGCCAGAACAGGCTCTTTCAAATGAAGGGCTTTTTTGAGTTGAATGTATCGAGGTTACACCTGCAGGCAGCCTGGATCTGTTCCAGCTTGCATGTGTTTAAAGGCCAAATGTAATAAGAAAGCATCAAGGTGTGTAGCCAGCGGCTGTTCGGTCATGACACTCATACGAATGAGCTTGAACACTGATGGTTTTCAAACTCTAAGCTGTTTTCTATTTTCTATAACCAGACTTTAGGTCATACATTTTGATTTGCATGGAGAATCATTAAGCGACTGTATTGTTAATCGGAAGTGATTTTTATCCTTAGGTGATCGCCATTGTGACAGACTCTATGACAGACCTGGACATCTTCCATGATCTGCGGGAAGCTTGCACACGCCGCAGAGTCCCTGTTTATATTCTTTTAGACCAGTCTTCTGTTGCCTCTTTCTTACAGATGTGCAAAAACCTTTGTGTACACCTGGATGAACTCCTGGTATGAGTCCACAGATTTACATTATAACTACATTAATTATGTCATTTATTACATTATATATATATATATAGTTAACTGCACCTCTTTTAATGATTTATTTTGTTTGTTTAAGCAAATGAAAGTACGGACCATAACAGGCTCTACCTACTACATGCGATCAGGTGCTCGGATCACAGGAAAGGTTCATGAGCGTTTTATGCTGATCGATGGAAACAAAGTGGCAACAGGTTCCTACAGGTGAAGAAACCTTTTCCTCACATCTTGAAGATCTTCATGGGATAGTTCACCATTAAATAAACGAGTCCACTGTAATGTCATTCAGATCCATTGGCTATATGCACTTGGACTTTTAATTTCAGCCAGCCAGCATCAGCACTTCTGATGTATTGTCTTTCCATTATAAAATTGCCACATTTAAGATCTGATTTCTTTAAAAATCAAGGGTCTTCCATTATAAAGTGGGTCTCAGACTGGACAAGAAGCACTGCATTAAATTCCATTTCCCCTGCCATGTCTTTAAAATATGACCGTTTACTTTACCCCAGTATTTTCAATGGAGTTTCTGCACTCGCCTGCTAATCCTAATGGTGCTAGCGGTTACACGTTTTTTATCTCGTTTTACTCTTGAACAACTAAATGAATGCTTAAGCCTTGTTAACTTAATGTATTTTAAATACATTACAACATCGATGCTGTAAAAGTAACCTTAAGAAATTAGAAATGGTCACATTAAACTTTCACCGAAATTGTTTGCACTTTACAAGGTCCATTTGTTACATAGTTTCAATCAAATTCCTACAAACCCAATCTAAAGCACACAATTCTTGACAGCAAGCCCCTATTTTTATTAGGCATGGGCCATATTAGATTCTGACGGTTTAATAACCTTGGAAATAAATTTCACGGTTTCACTGTATCACGGTATTGAGATTACTGCTCTAAAATATATTCTTTATAAATGTCTTGGTAAAAAACAAAACCTTTTCCCCTTTTGACACAATATATTTTAATTTGGGAACATTTAAAGAATTTAGGAACAGTAAACATGTCTGGCTAAATAATTCAAATGAATGATTGACTTCTGCTGTTCTGTCTCCATTTGTTTCAAAAACACTGATTTCTTTACAATTAAAACGGCATCTTTGGATATGTTTTCTGCTGGAGATAGTGCTGTCCTAAAAAAACAAAAAAGTAAAAAAATAATAAAATCTTACTCGTACCTTAGGAACAGTATGGCACAAAAGTTTAACGGTTTTAAAACCTTGATTTTTCCAAACCGCGGTATACCTTGAAAACGGTAATCGTCCCATGCCTAATTTTTGATTGCTTTAAATAAGAAAATAAATACCTCACAGATTAGAAAAATATACAATAAATTGGTGGCTGGGTGATATATTTTTACTGTGCAATAATAACTGAAAAGGAATTCGTTATTGCATGTTTAGTGCAACAAATGGTCATGGCCTGTTTGCTAGAGACTCAGAGAATCGCTGAAAACAGACAAGTAATGTAACTGGAGCACTTGTAGCAACCGTTTTTGTATTATCTTGCAAATGTGAGTACAGAATAACTCGATGTAGCAAATACCTCTGAAAAATTAACAGCCTCAGCCAGCTAACAGTCTACTCCAGATCCTAAAGCTTGCCTGCAAACATAACTCATTAACATGGGGGCGCTATAAGCCTTAGACTAGGAAAATGAAACTAAAATATACAAATAACATAAAGTAATGTCATGAAATGCTTAGTCTTGTTAAATATATTGGTAAGCGTATATAAAAATATGATTGGTTTTATGACTGACAGCAATCATACAGCTTAATGCATTATCTGCTCTATTAATCCTTTTTATGACATTGCTCTACAAGCAGCTTCCCATTGGGTCCTAGTGCCTGCCCAATAAGTAATAACTGCTGTGTTACACTATTTAAAATTTCACCAAAAACAAATAGTAGCAACAAAGCATTATTTGGTATTATAAAATTACAAGTCTGATTTTAGTTTATGGTGCAAAGCTAACAGGTGGGGAATAAATTCCTCACACCTGACTTTGTAAATAAACACTTCTCAAAAACAGAAAAGATATCGCCATCAGCTCAGATAAATAGTTTTAAAGTTCTAGAAAAAATAAACAAAATATCATGCATCTTTACTATATTTAACAAAGCCCAAATAAAAGAATAAAGGCAAAGTCCTTTTTCTTAAGTATTAAAATTTATTTATTTATTTTAACTCTTTTCATTGATATTTCTGACGTAACTTTTTATTTAACTATATCTTGCAATATATTGATAACGTAAACTAAAATTTATACCACCCACCCACAATTAGTGTATTTACAATTTAAGTTTAGCTCTTGTCCTATTCATTTACATGGAGAGAGCGGGATTTCAGACCTCTTCTCCAGTCAGATATTAACATTAAACCTAACCTATCTATGATCCTACATTAAATACTTGTTGTCATTTCGATCAGTTTTAGAGTTAATATTTTCAAAAAGCTATATCATTCAGGCATGTGATCAGCCGAAGACAAAAAAGAAGGAAACCGAGAGACCCCCCACCCAATATATATAATATTATTATTTTTTATATAGGTTCATAGCTTACTTTGTACCTCAATGTCAGGACAGATCCACACACTGCCGCTAGATGGCGCCACTAACTCGGTTTAGTGTTCTTGTGTGCACAGAATATATTTTTTCCTGTAATTTAGTAGACGCTTTATCCCACATGATAAATAAACTACTAGTCAGTCAACAATTCCAACTGTAAAAATATTAAGTGCAGTTGAATTAAGCGGTTTAATATGCTTTAACATTCCACCCTGAAAGAAATCTTATACATGCATAAAAGAGTTTATCACTTTCCCTTTCCTATAGTTTAGTAACTTTTTTTAAAATAGTTTTAATTAATTATAAAGTATAAAGTAAAATATTTTTTTTTATACATTTGTAATATCATTTAAACTTATGAAACTTTCAGGTAATACATTTCAGGTGCTAGGCTGTAGCACAGACTTACAGAGTTTAATAACAAATGTGCGTCCTGGCTTTATTTATAATGTACACAGAGCACACTCATGGTTGTGAGAGCAGAAAAAGTGCACAGCCACGCACACATTCAAAGCGATTTCATAATCTTGCATATTGTCAGCAGTTTCGTCATATGCGCACATTATTACACACATATAATTATACACATAGCCTAGTAGGTGCACAGTTACATCCCTGCAATGACATCTGGAATAAAGCAGTTACTGCTCCTTCTTGTGCACAGTTATGAACAATGAAGATGCAAAGCATCAGGTCATCTGCCTTGATGACGTTGAACTTCACTGAGCCCAGACACCCCCCCCCCCCCCCCAACCAATAATTAAAAAAAAAAAACTTCAGATTTATGCAAATTACAGGGGTCGCCCCATTGAGCATGGAAAATATGGAAGATTCACATCCCTGAAAATGATCGTGTCTAAAATGAGATTTTATGTAAAGTGCATAATTGTGAGTTCTGCGCATGGCACAAATGTATTAACTATAGGAGTGCTTGACAACTACAGGAACATATGTGTACTTAAACATCGCCATCTACTGTCCTGGCTTGCATAATACAGCATATTTTGTCATTTTTATAGATTCACGATAATGGGATTCTGACACCGTAGACATTTGCAATTCTTTTCTAATTTTTTTGGTACAATTTCTTAGTCTAAATGCACACTTAAAATCAATCCTACATCCTAAAACAATAGTCATATTTTTCAACTTTACAAAATTTCGAAAATTAAAAAGATTAAAACAAATTTAAACTATTATACTACGCTAGGCTGATATTAAAATAGCACCAGCTAATGTTCGTCAATAATGCATTCATAATTTAATTAATAGGGTTTATCCTAATAAGACTTTACTGTGAACTGTAAACAAAATATTTTATATTTTGCTATGGATTTGACCTTTCAGTTAATGTAGAATGATTCTGAATAAATGATGAAAAACATTCACCAATAAAATAAATTTTAACTTTGTAAATGTCAACCAATCAGTCTTTCCTACAGTTCTGTTCCAACCTTTCCTATTTATTTTACCACATTCTTTTACCTACAGGTTCAACTGGACGGATGGCAAACTCAACAGCAGCAACCTTATCGAATTATCAGGCCAGATAACTGAGAAATTCGATGAGGAGTTCCGTATCCTCTACGCTCAGTCTCTACCGCTGCCAGTGAACACGCGAGCCCCCTCTAGTGCCAGAAACTGCAGCTTATATGACCACCTTGTCCTGAAAGCACCTGGAACGCCTCCCTCCTACTTGGCACGAACAACAAAGCCTCAAGCGGAGCGTCTGACGAGCACTCCAGCCAGACTTCAGACCCCAGAGATCCAGCGGATGAATAAAGACATTAAAGAGCCAGACAGAAAGAGTAACCCAGTTTCTGACTCCTCCACTCTAGGTGAAGACCTAGAACTGGTGCTCGCCTCAGCTGACCCTCCTCGCTTGCCGTCAACCACTGTTAACTCTCAGACTCAGACAGTGGATGTGACGATTGTGTCTTGCTGTGACGTCTCGACACAAACTACCTGCCACACGGCTGATGTGAGCGTACAAACATGCAAAGAGCCTCAGAACTCAAAACCCTCAAGTGAACATCAGAAGGTGGACAGTTGCCCGCCGATCTGCCCCCAGCCACAAGATGTCAACTTTAGAGAGTGTTTCCTCAAGATCACCAAAGAGCGACAGCATCACTACAGCTCCATTCGCTCCAAGCTTGACCACATGGTGACACTGCTGTCCCACAAGAGGGAGTTGGTGGATCTCACCAACCTGCCGTTGAGACCCGGCCTGAACAGAGGACGCAAGGCCCAGCAGGAGGCCAGACAGCCAAACACTAACATTGACAGTGGGATTATGGGCACGTGGCCCAAGTCAAGGGGTTTGCAATAACATGAACTCATGAAAATTACCCAAAGATGAGTCAAATATAGACAAATCCAAGCTTTTTTAAAATCAAAATAGTCTATATTTTGAAACATCCCAGCATTTTTATAGGGTATGTTTTAGTGCAGCACTTTTTGTAAAATCTGATATTTTATATGGTGATATTTGAATATATGCAAGAGACAAATGTGCAAAGATACGGTTTCTTATTTTTGGATGAGGGTTTATTGTCTTTGAATGCTGTATAGTAAAAAAAAAAAAAAACAACCAAAGTGCTATGATGAAATCCTGTTCAGAAATGTTTTGTGTTTGTTTGGATGTTTTTCTGTTTCTGGGTTGCTTGAAGTTGTGGAGTACTGATCTTCTTTGTTACACTACTACTGCTTTATCGGTATGAAAACAACAGTCACTCACTTTTGAGTGTTTGATGTGCCTTGAATGATGTTGGTGAAAGGAATGAATCGAAACAATTGTGCTAAATTGGAAACTTTTGGTGTCTTCGATGCGCTCGAGGCATTTGAATATTTCATCAAGGATGCAGAATTGTTTAAAAAACAAAATATGTTAAATTATTCATCATTGGCTTGTTGCAATAAAACAGTTGATTTGATGAACAATTGTTTGTTGTAGATTTTTTGCAAGGTTTTGGAACATTTATCAAGGCTCACTCTGTATTAATTTAGCACACACACACACATACAGTACTTTTAGAAAATCATCATACCCATTTGAAGTTATTACTTCGTCATGCAGCCTCAAATCAAATAATTGTTCCAGCCTTCTCCTAACCTGTGCCTTTCTACAACTTTATCCCGAAGGTCGTTTGAAAGCAGGGTGTAAAGCAAGTAAAGGTATAGATTTTAACACATTATTACATGTAAGAATAAAAAAAATGAAACATGATAGATTGATATGAAATATTCCAGACCTTAACTACTATAGATATATGTATATACGTAAATATGAAGAGTTCAGATACAAAAACCTCTAAATTCCATCAGAAATTGTCTCCAAAAATTATAATTTTTCTCAAACTTCCTGTCTTGATTCAGTACTTTCACTTTTATGACAAAGAATATGTAATTTTCATAGATTTTAACATGAAATAACTGAACATAAACATAAGAGGCAGAGGAAAAATGCTCATTGTAGAAGGAAATTCTGGATGGCACTTGGAGGTTTTTGCATCTGAACTTCATATTTCTATACATTTGTTTTAACGCTTCAAAAAAGCCCTTAACTGTCTCACAGACTAAATGGTTTTCAGTACATTTTACACATAATATTTTTGTCCAAACCTGAAATTATATGCATAAATCATGTAACTGTGTGTAAATCTGAGATCAAAATATGAAAAGATAATAAAGTTAAGATCTGGCTACATGGAATATTTTGAAATATAAAATATCAAATCTAGAGAAATTAAAACTTTGAAGATACCATTAGCCTAAAGCAGTAGTGCCCAAACGTTTTTCCTATAAAGGGCCAAAAACCAAGCTGGATTGAGGACTGTGCCGAATTAATACCAAACCATATTACAATAGATTTGCCAAGAGGTAATTTCCTCATTTATTTGGTAATATAAACAACAGACTAGAAAATGTTGCTTTAAATTAAATTAACTGTAGTATCATTTTTAACATTTTATAGTGAACTTAATCCAGTAAAAACATAAGCAGTCCTATTTATAACACAACAGAGTTCAATGCTGAATACACTATGAGCTGCTACTGCCTGCTGATTTTCTCGTAGATGACTTGTGCATGTCCTCTATCTGTCAACAGACAGTTTTTACATTTTAAAAGTCTGATTTATTTAATTTCAGGTCGTTTTTTTTGTGCCTCAGTGATAAAACAAAGAAACAAAAGGTTATTTTAAATTCAATATGACGATCTCTGTCAAAGGCATTTGCTCCAACCCTCCCCGTCATTCTTTCTATTCAGATGGAATGGCGGGCCAAATCAAAGGTTTTCATGGGCCAACTTTGGCCCGTGGGCCCTACTTTGCACATCTCTGGCCTAAAGTGTAATTCAGTGAATTGTAATTGTTACCTTTATTTTCAAATAATGACAGTAAAGGCGTCTAAACTGTTACAAAAAATGTTTAAAATAAATGCTGTACTATTTTTAGAATCGCAATTGAGAATTTTTCCTCAAGCGGTACGTCAACATAGTAAATATAATAGGATAATGTGGTGCTGAATACTACAGTATGATTTTGAAAAATCAGCTTTAAATCAGATAAATAAATTACATTTTAACATATTGCTATGAATAAACACTCTTTTGCCCCTCCACATTCACCTCCACACTCTCCTCATAACTTATACTCTACATAATCACTGCACTATTTAATATTTAAAATTGGACACATTCACTGCACTTTTTATATATATGCATTAGTCTCATTATTAACAACCACCTGTACATATATTCATCTATTGTAAATCTTGGTTCATAGTTAATACAACCTGTATATAATGTTCATCGTACATCCATCTGTAAATGTTACCCATGATCTTTCTATAATTGCACTTCTTTAATTGCAACATACCTATATCCTGCACTTTAACTCTAAAGTGCATTTCATTGCCTTGTACTTGTACACGTTTAATGCCAAAGAAGTTGAATTTAATCTAAAGTGATTTAAAATGATTTACTTCACAGTATTATTGTTCTACAGTGCTATTCCTGTAGGCCATTTTAAGCACTGTGTTGCATATTGTGCTTGTTCAATTAAAAACAAGGGTGAATTCAGGCAAACTGGGGCACATTTCATCTCGTTAAAAAAAAAAAAAAAAAAAAAAAGATAAACTCAGACACAATTTCCAAAACTTTCCGATTTTAAAACAAGGATCTGAAACTTCATGCATAAAATGAATAAACAATGCGCAAAATTCTAGGTTAGTATAAAAAAGTATGTTCACTTGTAAATTCGACTTTCTTACTGAAATAATTTTGCCAGTAATCTTTAACAAAACACTTTGAGAAAAATAATAAACAAATGCGTTTATAGCAAACATGTGTGCTCCAGTATCAAGAAACTAGTGAATCTTCCACTTTGACCCCATTGCAGACGCTACTTCAGGCAGATTTAAACAGAGGGAAAAAATCCCATAAAAACAGTTGGTCGTTTCTTTTTTAGGTCAGCAACTCTGTGTTCACACCTTTCAGTGAAAGAGGAATTCTGGGAAGTCTATCATCATGTTACACAAATAATAGCCGAGTGCAAACTGAAGAGGGCGCTGTCATCTTACGCCTTGCTAGTGCTTCACGAGACTGACATAAATAAAACATTTAAAGGCACATTGGTAAATAATTTTCCGTTCTGTAAAATTTATTTATGCTTTGGTTCAGACATTTAGTGTCATTTACAGTACTTTTAATCCGCAAGGACGCTTAATAAACCAGAATATTTATATTGTTGCAATAGATGTAGTTTTTCTATCTATCTATTTATCTATCTATCAATCTATGTATCTATCTATCTATCTATCTATCTATCTATCTATCTATCTATCTATCTATCTATCTATCTATCTATCTATCTATCTATCTATCTATCTATCTATCTATCTATCTATCTATCTATCTATCTATCTATCTATCTATCTATCATTATTGTTATTATAACCTTTATTTTACCAATAAAGACACAATGAGATTAAAAGATTAGGCAGTATACATGTCACATGGGTCTAACAGACCACAAACAAAAACTATTGGCAATTAACATGAATCACACATTGACAAACAAACTATTTCAAACATCTACAAGCCTGTGTTTCAATTTCTAAATCATTTATACTCTTTTTAAAAGCATTTAGTGAAATCAATTCTTTAAACTGCAATGTTGCTTGTAGATTATTCCATGCAAAAACCCTTTTCCCATTTCAGTTTGCACTTTAGGAATAGACAGTAAATAAATATCCTGTGACCAAAGGCAGGTTTTTTACAAATGTAATTCTTGAGATCAAATGGGACTAAACCCAATATTGTATTAACAACAACAACAACTACAAAATACTTCAAAAAAAAAAGCGATGATTCACCCAGAATTGAAAAGTCTGTCATCATGTATTCATCCTCCACTTTTTCCAAACCCTTTTGAGTTTTCTTTGTGGAACACAAAAGAAGATATTTTGGAGAATGTTGGAAAGCATTGACTTCCATGTTATTTTTTGTTACAATAGATGTAAATTGCTACCAGTTTCCAACATTCTCCAAAATATCTTCTTTTGTGTTCAGAAGAAAAGAGGTACTTTTAAAAGTTTGATGCCACTTGAAGGGGAGTAAATGAGTGAATTTTCATCTCTTAAACAAAGCAACAATCATTTTCAACTTACTAACAAGAACAAATGTGCCCTGAACAGCGATCAAGCATATTTGAGATAATTTTTTGAAGGATTGTGTACTAAAATTGGAAAAATTATTGCTGAAACTCAGCTTTGCCATCAAATACATTTTAAAATATAATAAAATAAAAACTAAGTGCATTATTAAATCAGTAATATGGTGAAATATGTGCTGATACATGATTATTTTCTTCTTTCTAAAACAAAACTCTTACTGACCGATACTGTATGTTTATAATACTGCCTTGAGGCCTAAATACTGCCAAAATATTGACAAATGACCCATTAGAATACTTCTGGCTGTAATTTTAGAAAGTAAAAGCATGTTTTAACACAATGAATAAACAGGTCATAAATATATTCAATGCCTCCCTGAAAAATTACTGCAAATAAATTAGCATTCAGAAGCAGTTTAATACCTTGAATTATCATACTTTCAAAGGCCACCCCTGAGGTTTAATATTAATAGCGTGATTAAACAGATCAACAAGTGATTGTTGGCGGTTAATTATTTATCTTGTTTAGCTGAGTGTTTTGAGCCTCAGGTTCTGCTTCACGAATGGCCAATGATCTCAGTCAGAAGCACTGCTCTGGAGGAATCAAACATGACGCTGGTTTTTACAGCAGTTGCTACAGTTCATGTTTAATCACTACAGTCTCTTTCTCTTCCAAAACCCAGATTAACCATATTTCAACTGGTCGAAAATATTATCCATTTATTAGCTACACGTGATCATGATCTTGTGTGAATCACAGTTTCGAATAGTGTATAAATTTAATTCATATATTTAATATGTTCTTGTCTTTATACTTTTCTTTTACTCATTATATTATCTTTATTTTCTTTTTAACAGTAAGAATTATAATAGGGGTCATTCTTAAAATGCTCAATATACATTTTAGGCAGCAGTACAATATTACTGAATACAGTGCATCCGGAAAGTATTAATAGCGCTTCACTTTTTCCACATTATTTTGGTTACAGCCTTATTGCAAAATGGGTTGACAGTGCATTTCAATGCACAAACCAATCATGAAGACAAAGGAATTGTCTGTAGACCTCCTAGACAGGATTGAACAACGTTTAGGTAAGGTTACATAAAAATTTCTGCTGCTCTGAAAGTTCCAATGAGCAAAGTGGCCTCCATTATCCAAGATGTTTGGAACAACCAGAACTTTTCGGTGATCGGGGAGAAGGGCCTTAGTCAAGGAGGTGATCAATAACCCGGTGGTCACTCTGTCTGAGCTCCAGCATTCTTC